CTTACTTGTGATTGCATAGTCACTGGACTTGGCACAGCTATAATCTATAGAGGTATGACTGAGAGACTTGGTTAACCTTATTTAAAATGACTGGGTCAGAGGGAAATGGACAGTACAGGGACAATTTTTTAAAAAAAGTTTATATATTGGATTGTTTTCCTGAGAACTGCTCTGAGAGTTTCATCTGTGGGGCAGGGTAGCAATCAAATGAATAATTGCCCCACACTTAGTCGTGATATCTTATGTGAGAACATCTGGCCATACCTGTGAGCACAGGCTGATTTGCCATGACCGAAAAAAAAACTTTCACCAGCTGAGATTTGGGATGACTTGGCTGGTAATTTCGCTTCTTTTTTCCCAGAACATTTCACCTGGAGGCATCTGGGGGAAGAGGCAAAGGCATTTTTGTTCAGGAAGATCTGGGTTGCCACCATGTGGACTGCCTGCTGGACAGGATGAACCAATGCTCTGATCCTTCATGGCTGTTCTCCCAATCTTAGGAAATTATCAGTTCTTAAAATAATCCTAGAAACTGGTGGATTAGGATAGACCAGCAGACCTCTCTTCTGTGACTTCTGCTGACCTGGCACACTCTGGAAATTAGCATTTCTGGTCCTTCCTGGCTGCTCTTATACCTGCTAACTCCCCTTTGTGCTCTGCAATAGGTTCCTGCCATATAGATTTTGTCTTTTTATTTGATTTTATATTATCAAATCCATATTTGATAATAATAGTTATATTATTTTATCTAAGAGTTTCTTTTCACCAGCGTTATTGTTTGGTGAGTTGAACACCATTTTTGGTAGAAAGGCAGGCTATAAATCCATTGAATTAATAAATTAACCCCCTTTCCTCAGTTTGGCTGTTTGGTTGACTGCTGTTTGATTGTTCTCCTCCCAACACTTTCTCCATCAGTAACCAGTTCACAATCATGATTTAGATACCTGAATTTGCTTATTTTCTTCTTCCTGCCTTTCCATTTTTCTCTTATGTCTGGATCATGCTTATTAGATTGTAAGTTGTTATTCTAAATTGTAAAGCACTGGGAGAAAGGTGGCATATACAAGTAAAAAGCAAATGAATAATAATAATAATAATAATAATAATAATAAATGTGAAACTGCTGTGAGAGCACAGTCAATGCTCTTGTAAAGTGAAAAATGTAATGGAAGGACTCACTGCCTCTCCTTTAAGTGCTTTTGCCAATAAACATTTATTTTTGGTTTGCCTATTTTGTGTCAAGGACACATTTCAGGGAACTTCTGCTTCGAGATGTTCAGTTGCTGCTTTTCTGTTGCGTTTCTACATTTTGATCACAAATCCATCTGGGTTTCAAAAGTGACTTGGCTGCCTGGTGTTTGTCATCTCTCGTTGGAAGACAGGTTATTTTTATAACCCACACTCTTCAGATCTCAAGTGTCACCCAGCAGCAGTCCTGGATGAACAGGGAACCTCACTGATTAGAACGGCCAACGAAAATTCCCAAACGATTTAATAGATTTAAATAAGGTAGGCCAGCTGGAGGGAACTCCTCCATTACTAAATGAATAGTAGGGCACTAACACTGTGCTGAGAAAGACAACGTCCCCTGAATCCCTCGTCACTTAAATGTGAATGAGCCAGTGTGGCATAGTGGTTACAAGCGCAGGTCTGGGACGCAGGCAGCCTGGGTTCTAGACCCCGCTTGGTCATGGAGCCAGCTGGGTGACTTTGGGCCAGGCACTGACTTTCAGTCCAACCTACCTCACAGGGTTGTTGTACAGATAAGATTGAGAGCAGCAGGAGGAGAATGATGTCAGTCGCTTCGAGTTTATTGGAGCAAGGAGGGAAAGAAATCTAATAAGTAAATGGGACTAAATCTTTGGGCTATATTTGTATACAGTAAAACCCCCGTATCTGCTGTTTCAGTTGCCACGGTTCCTCCCCCCTCCAAAAGAAAAGGAAAATTCCAGGGAGAGGTAGTGGGCCCCATGGACAGCGCTGTGTCTCGCCACAGGTAGCTGTGTGGGGAACACTCCCCTTCCTGGCTGAGCACACCTGGCCAGCTGTGGCCAGCCTGGAGCACTGTGGCCCCCCACACCTGCCCGACTAACACAGGGCGGCGTAGAAGCACTCTGGATAGGGTCTAGCAATATTTGTGGTTTTTCCACATTTGCGGGGATTCCCCTAATCCCCGCAAATGTGGAGGGCCGACTGTAGGGTGTATTTCAGGGCTGGATAGACCTGCTCAATGGAACAGCCACATATGGTAAATATTAGATGTTTGAGAACTGCAAGCAGATGCCCACGGGTACCAGGATGGGTGGCGAGTAGCGAGTGGCAAGCCGTGAACTGCAAAATAAACTCAAAGGGCCGTATGTGGCTCTTCAGGCTCGGTTCGGACACCCCTGTATATAGTGTTTGCTACTATCCAGGGTTTGAGGCATCAGCTGGGGGAGCATAGAACCTCTCCCCCGCGGATACAGGGCCCCTTCTGCATAAGAAAATAGGATGGGCAGTGTGTCTTTCAACACAGAGGCAACTAAAATGGAACCAAACATCTGGTAGAGAAGGAAGAAGACAGCAGGGGAAGGGGTGTGAGGATTTTATAAGCTTTGCTCCTTTCCTGAACCACAAAGTTTGGGGAGTTTCATAACTGGAATACCTTGACCTGCAGCAAGTGTGTTGGAGAGCCCTCCAGCAAGATACCAGCAGTGAGTCACTGCTCCTCAACCTGATGATCAACACTGCCTGTGCTAGACAGGTAGCACACCTGTGGCAGTGCACCTTGTGCTGCTCCTTCACCCCTGTCATGGTTGCTTGGGCAGGTGAATGGCAGGTTGTACTGATGAAGTGGAAAAGGAGCTTCAAGGGACTCCTTCAAGGAGTTTGCTACAGACATCGGTTGGCATTTAATTTCTGTAATCAACGATAGATCACTAGTGCATGGATGGTAAAGGGGAGAGGCCTATTCACTGGTGGGTGTCTTTACTTATCCAGTGTTGCTGCTGTTGTTTGTTTCACCATCCAATAGTGGAAGCTCTCTGGAAGGTTAACCATGATTTATGCAAAATAATAACATACAGTGTAAGTGGGACCTACGAGATCAACTCAAGCCAGATCTTTCCCTAGAAGCAAAAATGACAAAACTGAGGCTGCCGTACTTCAGATTGGTCATGAGAAGGCAAAACTCCCCGGAGAAGGCCATCTTGCCTGGGAAAGTTGAAGGCAGCAGTAGAAATGGAAGATCAGTATGAGATGGATTGACTCCAGTCAAGGAAGTCACAGCCTCACAGTCCTGGGTAGGGCCTTCTGGAGGGCTTTCATTCATAGGATCGCCCTAACTTAGAGACAACTGGACAGCACTTAACAACAAGAAGTTATAAACACAAGTAAAACAGTGTAAAAACAGCAAATGTAGTCAGTGGTTAGAAATGCATGGTATTGTAGTCCGAAACATCTGGAGGGAACTAGGTTAAGAAGGTTGATCTAGAAAGTTACTGAGGCTTTCATTTTTGATGGAATTCTAGAAGAGGGAACACAGTGTCCTTTTCAAATGATTTTATTTTTCCTTCAGACCTTCTTGATGCCTGATCTCTATTGGACAACATAATTTTGAGCAATTTGTGTTTTTGAGGGGCAGACTCTTAAGGAAAGGGGAGGGGGAAGGATGCTTCCAGAATTAAACAGTTATCAATCTTTCACACCTTTTAAATGTAGTTTTTTGCAGTCTGCATTTAGCCCTTGCGTTTGCACTGTCTTTTTCACTATAAACTGGAAAGAGCCTTTTGTTTTGTCAAATATATAAAACTTGGTCTTTCTGCAGGTCCTGCCCCTACAAATGCAGTAGATTTTGCTAATGTGCAGTTGCAGTCAAAAGAAGCCTCATCTCGTAATAGCTGTGTTTCTAGTTACTTGAACTGCCTAATATTCTTCCTTGTGTTTGATGCTGTGACCATATTTCTGCCAAATTTAATAGCCGTGTTATACTTAAGCTTGTGTCTGATTGCCTTGCTTGTATGTTTTGTCAGATATTAGATGTTCCATTTTCATGGACCAAGCAGCATCACTCCTTGCATCCTGAACTGTTGGCCTTTAATGTAACTTGGCTGGCTTCCATGAATCAAGTGATGCTTCTTTGCTGTATTTATTAAGATGACTGATTGATTTCTGCATTCTAGCAAAGCTTTATAGTAAAGGTACTTTATGCACAGGGACATGAAGAACAGAAAAATCACTGGTACACACAACATTTAATATGCCTAATCTGCTATTATGATATGTACCCTATTTTTCTTAGCATCATGTAACAACCTACTTGGGTTTTATTTCTTTTAGGACAGAGGTGATACCTTGTGGTCTTCTATATGTTGTTGGTCTGCAGTTCTCTTCCCCCACCATACAGACCCAGTTAGGGTGTTAGACTGGGACTCAGGAGACCCAGGTTCTAGTCTCCACTTGGCCATGAAACTCAGTGGGTGATTTTGGGTCTAAGACTCAGCCTAACCTACCCCACAGGGTTGTTGTGAGGATAAAAATAGAAGGGGGAAGATAAAAGGGTAGGATAAAGTAGAGAGGAGGAAGAGGACAGTGTAAACTGCCTTAAGGTCCCTGCGAGAGGAAAAGAGTGGAATATAAATATAATAAATAAACAACCTAGAGTTGATAGGAGTTGCAGTTTAACATCTGGAGGTCATGAGTTGCCCACCTCTGCTTTAGAAGGAGGGATCACTGGGCAGGTACAGGAGCTTTGTAGATAAGGTGAGAAGGAAGACAGTCCTGTCCAGGGAAACCTACTGTTCTGCATCACATTCCCCGAAAGGAAGCCTTGCATCTTCAGAGGCTTTCAGCTTGTAATTCTCATCTCTCTCTGGCTGGGTTTGCATAGATTGCTTAGTATCCTTATTAATTATTACTGTTTTTCTATACTCCCAACAGCCAAAGCTCTTGGCTAACGTGCTACGTTGGGGGATTCTGTTAGGTTTGTCTGACATAGAACTGTTCTGCTTGCTTCTCTTCAGGATTCTGAAGGCGGCCTTTATGTTTGCATGAACACTTTCCTTGGATTTGGAAGGGAACATGTGGAAAGGCATTATCGGAAGACGGGACAGTGTGTGTACATGCATTTAAAACGGCACGTGAAGGAGGTGAGTACTGCTGTAGGCCAGGTGCTTTGGGGATTGTATGAAAATGACTTGCTCCTTCTCTGAAATGTAAGTGATGAATGGCCTTATGGGTGTGTTTTGTGGTTCAGGTGTGTGCATCGTGAAATTGCTACCAACAGTAATTCCTCCCTTCACATACAGTGCAATGCCCATGCCCCTGAATGTCGTTAGTTTTGTTGTCAGATGAGGTATGTGGCTAGAGATATAAAACTGGCACTGTTGAAGCCAGGGAAAAGCCTGCATTTTTCTGAGGAGGCATGGAAAAAAATTCTAGGGAAAATATGGAACACAATTTTCAGCCCTCTTTGTAGATCTGGTCACTTTGTTGCTTCAGGAGTTTTATTCATAACTTGGTTTGCTCATCAACGTGTCATTTCAATTAAAATATTTGAAAGTCAACTCTGTAAACTTAAAATTACTGTCTGAATAAAGTATACTTTAAATTTGATATACTAAACTTAATAATTTGATGAGTAAATCAAATTATGCACAATAGCTTTCTGTTTTATGCCTGACTTGAGGGAACTTCAGAAAGATATTTCTGAAACAGCCGAATCTTCCTGGAAGTCAGAAGAAACAGGAAGGGCTGGAGGCAGAGAAAACTGGTGCCCAGCATCTGTTCCTGTTTATGAGGAACTGGTAGGGATACAATTTAGGGGAAACTAGTTTAAAGCAAAAGCTTCTGAAAAAATACTTAGCTGGGGAAGGCTCTCTTATATATTAGGAAGGGTAATCAAAAATAATGTAAGAACTTTATGGAATCTCAACCTATTATTTGAAGAGTGTCCTTTTAGCCCCTTTGTAAATAATTTGTCTTAATAAATATCTTAACTTTTGCTAATTTTGAAAAGTTGTCTCTGTTAATGGTATTAATACCATCACTACACCATAGAAACTAGAATTCAGATTTTCTTCTAGAAGCTGAAAAGTACATATGGAGGGTTTATTTTGGAGGCTAAAGTTTATGGTTCTATAAATAAGGCAGCAGTCTGTGACGGGGAGGTTTAACTGGGAAAAAGAAAAACAGTGGCACTGTATACCATAGTCTCAAGCCTCAAAGAGGGGTGTGTGTGAGTGTGTTTAAAAGAAACAATAGGCTGTGTTGTCACATGTGTTACAGTGGCAGGATAATACCCAGTGGGTTTAGAACTACATTGGCTGACTGCATCTAGGCAGAACAAGCCCGGGAACTCAGGACTTTATAAAAAATCTTGACTTGTCAAGAATCCGTATTTTCTTCACACATGAATTGATGCCTTCAGTCGCATGTTGCGAAATGAAGCATCCATAAATATAGTGAAGCATTCGCTAAATGCCTTTCTGTCAAAATACATTGGAATAATCATTTTAATAAAGATTGGAAGAAATAATATGGAAAGTGAGGATTAAAACAATTCTCTGCTTTGGCTTTAAAATTTCCAGTTATTTACATCTTTGGTCTTCTTATAAAACATCTTCTGATGTTGTTTTTCAAAATCATTTTGGAAGGTTGAAGGCCAGGTAGTAATGTGTGAATAACTCATCTTAAACATTTTATTCATCATGCTAAAAGAAAATGTTTCCTAACCCAAAATTGTTCAATATTTTGAAAAAATATGAAAGGTCAGGGTGGGGAACACAGACTATAATTTCTTCCCTGTTTTTTTCAGGCCTTCCCTTTTCTATTTGTGGTAAAACTAAGGGGGTGGAAGCAGTAAAAAGATGTAACAGGATTATTTGGTTGAGAGATGAACTGTGTTTGATGATTTTGCTTTGTGAGTGCATTTAGTACACTGGTTTTCAAACTGCGTTCTGGAAAGCCGCAAAGAACAGTAATGGCAGTCAAGTCATGGGGTTCCATATGGCACTAGACTATCTCCGATGCTTTTGCACATCTGCGTGAAACCACTGGGAGAGGTCATCTGGGGGTTTGGGCTGAGGTTTCAATAATATGCTGACAACATTCAGCTCTACCTCCTCTTTGCGTCAAATCCAGGCAGTCTGTGTTGGACTGGTGACTGAGTTCAGTAATGGACTGGATGAGGGCCAACACACTGAAACTCAGCCCAGACAAGATGGAAGTGCTGTCGGTTGACGATCTGTCTGACAGGTTGCACTTCCCGTGAAGGACAGGGCCTGCATCTTGGAGGTGCTCCTGGACCCAAAACTATAATTATAGTTCCAGGTGAACCAGTGGCCAGGATTGCCTTCTTTCATCTGTGGCAAATACAACAATGACGGCCTTATCTGGATGGACAGAGCCTGACCACAATTATTCATGTGCTGGTAACACCCTGACTGGATTATTGTAATGTGTGTTATGTAGGGCTGCCTTTGAAGACAGTCCTGAGACTTCAACTGATCCCAAATAGGGCTGCGGATCTGGTGATGGGTATCAGTATGTGATCCCGTATAAGGGCTATTCTATTTAAGTAACGCAGTTTGCCCGTTGAAACCCAGAACCAATTTAAAGTGCTTGTTTTAACAGATAAAGCACTGAATAGCTTAGGTTCTGGTTACTTGAAGGATCGGCTTTTGCCATATATACCTACTTGCCCATTGAGACCTGGGAATGAGGTCCTTCTGAAAGAGTCATTCCTAAAGGAAGTGTCACTCCTTTTGATTTAACTTTTTGTTCTATTCATATCTCTGTTTTCCTCTGACCTGATTATATCTTGTTCTTCTTTACTTCCTTCCGAGGTCTCATTTATTCCTCCCCACCTCGCCCTCCAGTTCTTCCCAGGTGCCCTGGTCACCCCACTCTCATGCCTGCTCATTGGAATGGGTCCCTTTTTTCTTCAACGTTTGGTCAGCTGGTTGTGGTGCCCAGAAAAGAATCCCCCCATTGACACACCAGCTGTGTCCACTTGCTGCATGGTGAACCTGCTTGATGAAACATCTGGAAAGGAAAAAGGGTGTTGGCTAATGATGGGCACCAGCCCTGTATGTGACTCCTCACCTTTTTCTGCTTTCTCATCATAGAAACATAGAAACAGAGCAAGTCAGAAGGGGTCTCCCGGGCCATCTAGTCTGACCTCCGGCACCAGCCGGCTCCTCTCCGATCATCTTCCTCATGGTATCGTCTAGCAATTGTTTTGGTCCCTGGACTTGAGCCCCAAAGTCCAGTCCTAGCAGAGTTACTGGTTACAATGCTACACTTATTTTTTGAGTGAGACCTCTAAAAAGGCTTTTGAAAGTGCCACGTATTTTATAGAAAATATCAATCCTACTTGCAGCAAAGTTTGCTGCAGGTTAAGATTCTGACATATTACAATTATCTGCAAGTTCTGTGATGTACAGAAGATATAATATTTGCTTTCTTGCTGTGACTTATATCAAAAGCAATGAGTGTTCCTTTATTAAGATATGCTGGCAAGCCCTTGCTTGGATGCCTTAAAAATGAGCCCCCAAATTATGAAGCTAAATAATAGACATTATTAGCCATGGCAGATAAAAATAGAAGAGGCATCCCTGGCCAGCTAAGAAATGCTTGCCTTCCTTTTTGTGGGCTTGTGGCCAGACACTTGCTAAATCTGTCAGGGCTGGGCCATGTCGGGTCATGGTTAGAGGGCACATATCACACCTACCCCAAGGGTTTCCTTTGCAATATACGTAAGCATTGGGTTGGAGCGGACCTTGTTCCTGCGTGATTTGTTATTACTGTTTCTAAGGAAGTGCAATAGGAATGAGGCAGTAACTCCCATTGTCTCTTCCCATTGATTATGGTGGGTTACGACCAGTGCTTTTTTTGTTAAAAAAAAAAAAAAAAAGGTGCCGGAACTCACGTCGCCGCTGGCAGTAAGCACTCAGGCGCACACCATTCCCAGGCCGAGCAGCGTCCCAAGCCGGGCGGCACGGACACAAAAGCAGCCCGCAGGCACTACGTTAATGATGTTTGCCGCTGACCTGCTACGCCGACAGGCGATTCAAAATCACTTCGTAAAATCCATTGGAAAAAATGGTGCCAGAACGCCATTCTGGTGCGTTCTATGACAAAAAAAGCCCTGGGTAGCACTAATGGAAATTGCAGGCTAACAACATCTGCGAGGTCACCTGTTCTCCTCCCTAAAGTAGAGAGAAGTCCTTCTTTTCTGAATACTGAAGGTCCTGCTGCCTACCCTCAAGATTTTGAGATGGCATGAAATGCTGCTCACAGTTTTCAGCAGTATCTCTGCTATCATAAGTGCTTGTAACTTGATTTAAAAGGGAAGTTGAGAGTCTTGGTGTTCAGTTCTCTGCCAGCTACTAAATTCTGTGCTTAGTGAAATATGCTTACAGTTAACATGCAGAGAAATTTGGATTCTTTTCTTAAAAGCAGCTGCAAAAAATGGTAGACTCCGGAGGAGGGGAAACAGTCACTTTTTGCTGGGTGCATCCAAATGAGAGACAATGGAAATGCTGATAGTATTCTAATCAGAGATCCATAAAAGTTGGTACCTTTTTGGTTATCTGTGAGCAGATGAAGCTGCTTTTTATTAAGTTGGACTGCTGGTCCATCTGAGCTGCAGTATTATTTGCTTAGCATAGAAGCAGCTCTTCTAAGGTCTTAATGGTGCATAACAGCTTGTTATGGTCATGCCACTTGTAGGCCCAGACATGAATGACAATTCTCATTGCAGTTTTATTTAATAGACTTATCTGTTTGAAAACATGTCCCAGCAGTTTAATAGAGAATTTTATTACATTAAAACACATTACAATATACATTAAAACACAATTATAAGGTATAATCACTAAAACATTTGCATAAAACATTGATAAAAGCAGTAGAACCAGTGCCGCATACTCCCAAAGGGAAGGCCTGGATCAAGAGTTGTTATGTTCCATCAAGCTGTCTTCAGTTTAGGGCAACTTTGTGAATGAAATTCCTCCAAAAATGTCTTATGCATGACAGCCCTGCTCAGCTCTTGTAAATTCAAGGCTGTGGTTTCCCTCATGGAGTCCATCTACCTCATATTTGGTCTTCCTCGCCTCCTCCTCCTCCTCCTTTGGCCTTCAACTTT